GTGTGGCCTATTTGATATCTATAAAAGGGAGGCTGAAGAGAACTCTCTTTCTCCTTCCCTCCCTCCACTCATCCCTCCCTCCTTCCTGATCTCTGGATTCCTGGCTTCCCAGCGACGTGAGTCAGGAAAATCCTCTAGTGTAATATTTGTCACCCAAATTGAAGTTTAACCACATCAATAAAGATGTGAACCAGGTTTCTTGATATAAATGTCTCTATATACATATGTAAATGTCACAGACTTGCTTCTGAAGAGGACCAAGCCTAATTCACTTGATATAGGCGAGCAAGTGTTTCCATCACTCCATCAGTTTGCTGAAACACGTTGACTGGTGTTCCACCAATTCTGGATTTCCTGGTTTTCAACAATGCCTTCAGTGTATTTTTGTAGAGACTGTCAACATTCCATCTTTATTTAAGGAGAATATCCATTTTCTTTTCTTTATCAAAATCACCGCATCTCTGATTCTCACTCTAATGTAATTAACATCTGAGTCAGAATTAACTTGAAAGCAGTGAGTATTCTTTATAAATATTTGAAGGAATGTATTAGGACACCTCTCCAATATGTTGCACTATAAACAATAGCAAAACTCAAAAGTATGCCAAAGGTCATTCCTTGGAAATTAAAAAATAAAGTTTAATAAATTATAAAAATAATTCTAATCTTTGTAAACGTCCTAGAGAAATATAGTAGCTTTCTGTTCACCCTTTTCAAGTAAAAAGATTGGATCGTTCCACTACTGACACTTTAAATATATATATATATATTTCTAATCCATTAAAAGAACTAGTGTCATCTAAAGTATTGGCGTACAGGACTCCACTGGGTATTGTTCGGAGCTCTGGTGCACAGGGGCTTATGAGTTACACTGCTGAACACAGATCAGCCTTTCTAAGCCACCAGCCAACCTGACGTAGGAAGAGAGGGTCTTTGGATTGATTTCCAGCCTCAGAACAGCACAGGGGTGGTTCTAATCTGCACAGCGAAGATGTGTATGAGTCAGGATGGACTCAGTGCATTTGGAGTTTGGGTGAATTTGGAGTTTGGGGTACTGCATATTGTTATAAAGCAAGTGTAAATAATTGAATCGAGTTTTTGTGGATACACATGACATTGTTAATAACAACTTACATTAGAATTGATGAAGACAGGAAAGAAAAAAGGGGATAAATTCCATTCTTTATATCTTTGTTTAATATTTGAGATTCCTGTAAGGATCAGCACCTCTATTTGGATTCTTTTTAAAGTTACTAAAATGTACAGTAATAAATCGTCTAGGTTTCCAAGCATGAGGATAGCCCAAAAAAGATTAAAAGTATGTGTAGTAATAAAAAATATTTGCCATAGTAGATACCAAAGCATATGATAAAGTTTGGATTTTGTAATGAAATTATGCAAAACAAGTTAAGACCCATATAGATCTATCACAAAAAATGACCTGTAAGTCAAAAAATATACACTCAGATTAAATATAAAATGTAACGACATTAGTTGGTGGGGAAAATTGGCATTAGTCAAAACTTTAGCATTTAAAAATTAATTATCAAGGGCTCATGAGGGAGGGGGGCCCAGGGAGGGAAGGGAAAAATGAGGACCTAATGCTGGGAGCTTAAGTGGAGAGGAAATGTTTTGAGAATGATGAGGGCAATGAATGTACATATGCACTTTACACAATTGATGTATGTATGGACAGGGAATCCAGGGTGAATAAGCCCTACAGGACCAGTGGTGTGAGTGATGATACAGGGAGGGTAGAGGTAGAGTGGGTAGGAAAGAGGGAACTGATTACAAGGAACTATATGTGACCTCCTCCCTGGGGGATGGACAGCCGAAAAATGGGTGAAGGGAGACGTCGGACAGGGCAAGATATGACAAAATAACAATTTATAAATTATCAAGGGTCATGAGGGAGGGGGGAGCGGGGAGGGAGGGGAAAAATGAGGACCTAATGGCGGGGGTTTAAGTGGAGGGGAAATGTTTTGAGAATGATGAGGGCAATGAATGTACAAATGTGCTTTCCACAATTGCTGTATGTATGGATTGCAATATGTGTTGTATGAGCCCCTAATAAAATGATTAAAAAAAAAAAATTCAGAACTGCCAGCGGTTCCATGGGAAAAAGATGAGGCTGTCTGCTCTCATAAATACTTACATTCTCAGAAACCATAAAGAGTCCTACTCTATTCCACAGGATCTCTCTGAGTAAGAATTGAGTCCATTTCAGTGGGTTTGGTTAGTTAATAAACCCCTCAAAAATAAATAAAAATATTAGCATAAGGGAAAAGGTATAACCTTTAAGAAAAGAGAAAAGAAAGCAAAGAGAAATTTTAAGAAAAGATAAAGGAAGCAAAAAGAAAAAGAGGCAAAACCTTGTATCATTCACAGTAAAGTGTGAAACACACTTCTGTGAGGAGTCTCTGAGAGAAACAAACAGCTAACTGATCCACTAATAGCCAAATTTGATGGCTCTAACCCACCCAGATGTGCCTCAAAAGAAATCTATCTATGTCCATGGCCTTGAAAACCCCAGTGAACAATTCTACTCTGCACACCTTAAGTTGCTATGAGTTTAGCTGATACCAAGGGCTCAAGTAGAAAGCAAATATTTTGAGAATGATGATGGCAACAAATTTACAAATGTGCTTGACAAAAGGGATGTATGTATGCATTGTGGTAAGAGTTGTACGAGCCCCCAATTAAATGATTTTTTAAAAAGTTGCTATGAGTTGGAATTGATTCAACCGCAACTAACATTATATTTACATATGTTTTAAATGAAAAAAAAACAACAACAGAAGAGTGTTTAAATAACATATCTAAAAAATGTAACTAATAAATTTGTCACGGTTGGAATTTTGTCCAGATAGTGTCATTGAAAGATGAACCCGTGATGTTATGGGAATAGTCAAAACCACTGGCTGCTTCCAGGCTGATGTTTCAAGTCTACAGACACTTCACAAGAGAGAAAATGTGGCAAACTACTTACGGAAAAACCCCAAAAAGATCAGTTTTGTGAACTTTCTGGAGCAGTGCTCTTCTGCCCACAAGGGTTGCTATGAATCAGACTAGACTGGATAGCAATGGCTATCTATGTTTGGGTGGTCTGGGTTTAGCATCATTGGAAAGCTCACAGATTGACCCAGAGATAACTGGTGATGTGCTGGCCATTGCGTGGAACAGGGTCAATGGCAGGGTGAAACAACAAGCATGTTTAGGATCTGGTGGATACTGGCAGAGATAGGAGCCTTCCTACCCTTAGGGACCCCCTGGGGCAGTTCTATTCTCTTCTATAAGATCACTGCAAATTACCTTGATGGCAGTGACTTTATTTGTGAGGGTGCCTGCCACATCAGCATGTATTGTGTGGACATAGGACAGAACTTTTCAAAATGATGAAATGTTTTTAAATGCCCCTCTTCTTTGATTAACAATCTCACATGTAGATAGTTACTCAAGAAACATAATCACAGATATTTTCAGGTTTTTTCAGTGACAATTATAGTAAAAACATAGAACTGTTAAGAATCCTATAATAGATTGATTAGGTAAGTGTGCTGTGTAGATATATGGGTGAATGGATAGATTAGATAAATTCAGTGAGACCTGTAACAGCAGAATTTGACAGAACGGCCGGTTTTTGCATTTTCTCAAGTTTTCCACCTTTGAAAGGTACACTTTATCACCACTTTCCATTTGTGGCAAGGATGTGTGTTTTCTGTCTCTGACAAGGTTCCACTTCGGACAGATTATGGCTTTAACAGATACACATATAGAGGTACCCATATAGCATACATCCTTGAAAGTTTTGTCAGCTTATGCCTTTATTATTTCATATAAAATAAATGATTTTCATATGCATTAATTTATTAAATAAATAAAATATATTTCATTTAAATTATAAAATAAAATATATTTAATATTATGGAAATATAAATATTTCTGGAAATTTATCATCTTTAGTCAAACAATCATTTTTAAAGTGTCTACTTGGTCAGGATAGCATAGTATTGTGGGTTTCAGCACCAGCCTGGAAGTCAGATCTGGGGTTTGTCACTACTAGCTAAGTAGTCACTGGCAGGTTACTTATCCTTTTCTGGTAAAGGGTGCTGTCAAGATGAAACCCTGAGGAAGCAGGTAGGGAGAACAATGAGTGTAGATTTATGCTTTTTGTTGTGTGCCTCCGAGTGGAATCCAGCTCCTCGTGACACTAAATAAGAGCACTATTGGTCCACAGAGTTTCGTGGACTGTACTCCCCGTGGGATCGCCTCACCAGGTATTTTCTCTGCTGGAGGGCTAGAGGATTTCAACCACCACTCTTCCTGTTTTCAGCCCAGTAGTCAGCCATTGCACCGCAATACCTCCTTGCGTCATGGAGTAGGGTGATATAGTGGTCTGTAGAAGGTCCTGAGAATAAAACTGTAAGAAATGAAGGAATGCGAACTCCAGATATCCAGGGACTAGAATCCCAAGCGAAGAGAATAGTAAATACAAACATTCCTAAGTGCTTGGAGTGCCCCAGGCAGAGCAGGAGGCCAGCAGAGTAGCTGGAGCAGGGTGAATTACAGTCACTGGTAATTTGGGGGTCCGTGGAAGCTGGTTGTCCCTTTATACTTGAAATACATTTTTATTGCTTGAGTTTTTGCAACTAGTTTGAAGTACATATACAACTAAAAACAACAAAAATATTGACATATCTACACCTCATTTATTGACTTTCTCAATCACTGATGTTTTACATTTCTGATAGCAATAAAAAGTTCACTACCTAGTAAACTTGTGTGCATTATGTACATCTTGCAGTAATGCATTTTGAGGTGTAAGATAAGAATCACATTGAATATGATAATTGAGGATACATGTAAACCTGGCTGGGACCTGATTTTGTTTTATAGTGATATAGTTTGGCAGTTATTAGTGACATGTTTAGCTATCATTTATGATCTGATATGATCATCTTCCATTTTCACATGACATATTTTTGCATAAAGGCCTGATCTTTGGAAACTAGTTATGTGAGGAATGATTCTATTTTTAAGAAATAAAATAATAAATTATACTCTTTTTAATTACTCTACCTCACCAATATGTATCATCAGGGACTAGTTTCTTTAAAATACACGATCATACATTCCAGGGAAAGTACAAAGCCAGCTGCCTACTCAGCCTTTTTCAGGAGAGGAGGGTTCGGCGGTGAAATGGGTGTGCTCATGCTTGTTTGGGACAGTGCTATTCTAAAACTTGACTCTCTACTGTATCTTTACCCCCAGCTGTGCTTTATTAGAAACCATTTGTAACTTTAAATGGCTTTTTTAAATTGGCATTTCCCTGATGTGGCAAAAATAATGAGCATATATTTTTTTTAAGTAGAAAATGAATTTGATAAAGTATTTTGTTTGGCTAAAAATGTTTTCAGTAGTTCATTAACTGCAAAATCATTCCCTACTGAATGTTAGAGATCCTGTGCAAGAGCTGCCTGGGGCTAAATAATATGTGTTCACCTTGGCACCACACTGACAGAGGGGAAACGGGATGCACGGTCACCAGCACTCAGCATGCAGTCTTTATTTTAATAAAGAAGAGCTGAAGCATGAATTGTACAAAGTATCTGATCATTTTTTAAATGTTTATGATTTTGTCAGTGTATTACCTTACATAGAGATATTTCTAATAATCTTGGCCTACTACTCAAATAGTTGAAGTATGTTGTAAAAGCCTAATACAATGTGTCAGTCCCTGTCTTGTCATCT